TTACATAAATTAAAATAAATTAAATAAGCAGATAGTTAAAAATTACATGCTTATAATCTAATTTCTGTCATTGTTGCATTAGAATATTCATAAAATCAGTAAATCAAATAATAGTTTGAACACTATAGTTAAAAGCATAAATTCAATAAACATTTTATTCTAAAAATATATTATAGCAGTTTAGTTAAAAATTACATTCTTATGATTTAATTTCTGTCATTGTTGCACTAGGGTGTTCATAAAATCAGTAAATCAAATAATAGTTTAAATACTATAGTTAAAAGTATAAATTCAATAAACACACTATTCTAAAAATATATTATAGCAGTTTGCAAAAAGGTGTACCTCACAATTTTCATGATAATGATTAGAAATCTGTATAATTCTCTTAGAATTGAAAAATTATCTAATTTCTCATGATTTTACATTACATGATGATCTGTAGAGATCACACTTTTTTGCAAAGCACAATAATCAAATTTCTATGAAAAAATAAAAATTAATCAAGAAAATGCAATTGCACCCAAAACCTTGTAGATTTATTATAATTTATTATATTAAAATTGTTGAATTCATATGATGTGTAACGTTTAGACTACCTTATATAAATAATTTATAAGTTTTAAATTGTGTGACCACTGATCCATTTTATCGTTATGTATTATGCCGATCTATTTTATATTAAAAAATTATGCCACGTGTTTTATAATTGCGTACTGACACAATCTACCTAATATAAAAAAATTTTACCCTATATGCGCTTATATGATTTACTAATTTTTGCATCTTTTACAAGCGTATTTTAATCTTTATTACCCAATAGACAAGCATATTTTCATCTTAAATTATTACCCAATAGACTTTGAACTTATGTCTCAATATAATAATACGGCCAATACCGAAACTTCTGAAGAATGCTGTTAAAGACTTAATCGTAAACGCCAACAATGACAACATTATAAAAAGAAAGAAACACATAATATTGAAGCAGCGACTGAAGAAAACTTTCGTATAAGAAGAGAGACAGTGAGACAGCAGAATGAACAAGAGCCAATAGTAAACCGAAGAACTATAGCTTCTTCTGTGGATTCTACAAGAGCAGAACAATCTGAAGAACCAGTAGTAAGTTTAAGAAGTGAAAGTAGTCTTCTAACCTCTTTTTTTTGGATTCAACTTTTAGTATTGCCTTTAATGAACGAAATCGACAAACTATGGAGTCTGTCACTTCAACACAATCCACAGCAGTAGGTTTAAGAAGTGAAATTAGTTTTTTAATCTCTTCTTTTTTAGCTTTCAGTTTTAGTATTGCCTCTGACAAAGTAGCTATCTCTGTTGAGCAACCTATAATTACTCCTTTGATTGCACATTCTATAAAAGTATTAAGAGCATGTATTTATTCATGGAATTTACAAGGTTTAGATCATCACTCTCTGAGAAGCATGGATAGTAGATATCGCAATTGTGGAGCTTTGTTGTGAATTGATGAATGAAAAGCAGAAACATTTACAAGATTACCAGTTTTTATAACATGTTGTGCAAAAGGCAAAATTTCTCTTCTGCCTATGCAGGAATTCCTACCTTCTTTAGACATCTTGCTTACTAATTCAGATTCTAGTGCATGTTTATTTAGGCAACATATTAGGATGTATAATTCAGCATTGGCTTTTACATCTATGGGCATGAAAATAGATCATAATATAACAGAAACGGCCAATGTTTATAATTTTCGTATTCACAGTGAAATGTATCATACTATAGGCTCCTTACTTCTTGATAACCCTAGCCCTCAGTTTGCTCAATTATATGTGTATGATACTGAGCATGAATTGCAAAATAGAATGTCCATAATGCCTAATCTCGATTCTATAATTCTTGCAGAACTTCAACAAATATTGCATAATATGAATCCTTATTGTAGAATATTTAGACAAGTTGGCAACATGCACAAATTAGATCTGTCTTTAGATTTAAAAATGCTTATTATAAATAATAGAAGACAAGATCCTAGGCGTTACAATATTCCAACAACATCAGAAGTTGCAGTTATTATGATTGATGATAGACAAACTGATAAGCTGCTGAATCACGATATCATGTTATATTTATATGAAGGAGGATTACAGAGAATATTGGAAATACACCCTGCATATGAACCCTTACATTATGTTCTTATGTTTTCCAGAGAAGAAGATGGTTGGCATCCTCATATTTCTATAAATAGTGTTCCTTATTCTTCATCATTGATCCAGGAATTTATAGAGAATAAAGATTAATTAGATATTAATGAAGATGATGAAACGATTATTTCGAGAAAACATGTTAGTGCCATAAATTATTTTGCTTACCGATTGCATCTCAGTCGACCAAATGAAGCTGTAGTTCTACATCGCTTTGGATGACTTTTTCAACAGTGGATTGTAAATATGTATACAATTGTGGAACAAATGCATCTTAATTATTTGCATCATAATCAAGATTAGCTACGAGTGGAATTATACAATGGTCTGCAAGATGCGATGCATGATGAGGATAATATGCCCAATTCTACCAATATAGGACAATGAATTATTTTGCCATTAAGTTTTACAGGAGGGCCCTGTCAAATGCAAAAACTTTATCATGATGCCATGGCTATTGTGCGAGTTGTTGAAAAGCCTAACCTGTTTATTACAATGACTTGCAATCTGCAATGGCCAGAAATTACTAATTCTCTTCTTTCAGAACAATCAGCACATGACAGACCTGATTTAGTTGTTAGAATCTTTAATATGAAATTAAAAGTAGTGCTTAAAGAAATTTTAAAAAATGAAATCTTTGGAAAAGTAGTCGCTCATGTCTATACTATAGAATTTCAAAAGTGAGAATTACCTCATGCCCATATGCTTTTCGTTCTCGCTCAAGATAATAAGCCTCAAACTGTTGATGACTACAACACCATTGTTTCTGCAGAAATTTCTGACAGAGATATCAATTCTTATATGTTTGAAACTATTAAAAAGTCTATGATGCACGGTCTTTGTGGTTCTTTGTTTCCAAATGCTCCTTGCATGAAGGATGGAAGGTGCTCTAAAAAATATCCCAAGTCTTTTCAGATAAGTACTTCTATTAATGCTGATGGTTATCTTGTTTATAGGCAAAGAAATGATGGTCAAACTGTAGAAGTACATGGAACGACATTAGATAACTGTTGGGTCATTCCTTTTAACTCTTATCTTTTAACTAAATATGACTGTCATATAAATGTCAAAATTTGTTTATCAATTGCTGCGATAAAATATCTGTTCAAGTATGTTTATAAAGGTCACAATTGTGCTACTATAGAAATAAGAACCCAAAATTAACAAAGTCAACAATCTGAAAATAATGATGATGAAATAAAAATTTACCTTGATGCTCGATATGTTTCTGCATCAGAAGCTTCATAGTGATTGTTTCATTACAAATTACATGCAAGAAACCCAGCAATTATTCAACTTCAAGTTCATTTAGAAAATGAACATAGAGTTCCTTTCCAAGATAATGAGCCAGTAGAAAATATACTTAGATGTGCTAATTTAACCCACACCACACTTATGGCTTGGTTCTATGCTAATGCATTATATTTAGAAGCAAGAAATCTTACATATGTCGATTTTCCTATACAGTGGGTTTATGACAAGAAAACTACTACATGGAAACTACAGCAGTGTGAAAATATGATTAGGCGAATGTATTTCGTTTACCCTGCAGCAGGGGAATAATATTATTTAAGAATGTTGCTTAACGTAGTTTGTAGTGCAACATTGTTTAATTTTCTTCACACAGTTAATGCAGTTTTATATTCTACTTTCAAAAAAGCGTATGCTGTGTTGGGCCTACTACAAAATAATACTAAATGGGATATGTGTTTAGCGAAAGCTTCTCAAGTACAATCTGGAGCTCAATTATGACATTTGTTTGCTATGCTTCTTCTTTTTTGTGATCCTTTATATCCTGAACTCCTTTGAAACAAGTATTCAAATTCTCTTACTGATGATATTCTACTTCATATTGCTACTAATCCTAAAAATACAATTACTAATATACAAAATCAAGCTTTACTCCATTTGCAGTCTATTTTACTTAGACATGAAAAACATCTCAATGACTTTCCCAATATGCCTATCTCTAATTTACCTTCTGACTACTCTTATACCAATCGTCTTATTTGCGAAGAACAAAGCTATGATATCAATGAACTTAATCGAATTGTTCAAACTGGAGTTTTTCAATTAAATATAGATCAGCATAACATATTTGAAAAAGTTATAGTTGCACTAGAAAACAAAGCACCTGTTATGTTTTTTGTCGATAGTCCAGATGAAACTGGAAAAACGTTTTTGTATAAGTAATTTATTATTTTTCTCTTTAATTTTTTTACTTTTTGTCTATCATGATATATACTTAATATATTTTTATTATATTTTTTATATTCCTACATATCTTTTGCTTTATATTTAGTGTTTTACTTGCAAAAGTTCGATTAAATAGATATATCGTATTTGCAGTAGCTTCATTGGGTATAGCTGCACTTCTTTTACCTAGTAGTCGAACTGCATATTCAAGGTTCCGTATTTCTATAAATGTAGATGAAAATTTAATCTGTTCTATCTCTCATGGCTCTGAACTAGCTGTTTTATTACAACAAATGTCTCTTATTGTATAAGATGAAGCTCCAATAATAAACAGATATGCATTTGAAGCCGTAGATTGCAGCTTAAAAGATTTATTAAAAGCAGTTGATCCTAATTTAGAAAACAAACCTTTTGGAGATAAGGTTATAGTATTTGATAGCAATTTTCAACAAATTCTCTCTGTAGTTCCAAAAGGTGGATATGAAGATATTGTAAACTCCTGTTTATGTTGATCTCCTCTTTGGAAACATGTTAAGGTTTTGAAATTACAAATTAATATGCGTCTTTGTCATTCTACTAACAACCATGATGTTATGGATTAAGCTGAATTTGCTAATTGGCTTCTTAAAATTGGAGAAGCTTGAATTTCTACTATTAAAAATGAGTCTAATACAATTCAGCTTCCTAATAATATTATCATACCTTTTGAAAATTTAAATGACCTAATCTATTTTATTTACTCTGACTTTTCTCTGCATACTAATGCTTCTTTTTTTGTTGAGTGAGCTTTACTAGCCTCTAAAAATGATTAGGTTAACAAAATTAATACAAATATTATATTCCAATTTTCTGGTAACACGATCGAGTATCTAAGTTCTGATATGATTGAAGAACAAACTAATTCAGCCAATTTATATCCTATTGAAATTTTAAATTTATTAACTATTAATAGTCTTCCTTCTTATAAACTTATATTGAAATCAGGTGTTCCTATTATACTATTATGAAATCTTCATCCTTCTGATGGTTTTTGCAATGGAACTAGATTAATTTGCTAATCTTTTACCAGACACGTTATTGAAGCTAAAATTATCACTAGGACTCATTCTGAAAACTGTGACTTTATTCCGTGAATTACAATGTTACTTTCAAATACTGATTTACCTTTTACTTTCAAATGACGTCAATTTTCTGTTCAACTCGCTTTTGCAATGACCATTAATAAATCTCAAGGACAAACATTAAATTAGGTCAGCTTATATCTTTCTACTCCTGTATTCTCTCATGGTCAACTCTATGTTGTCTGTTCGAGAGTAACATTATGCAAGACCTTGCGAATTCTTACTTCTCAACAGAATGGAAAACTCAGTCTCATATCTAATATTATTTATCTGGAAATTTTTTAATAATGTTCTAACTTTATACATCTTAATTACTAGGTAAGTGATTTTCAATATCAACTACTGCCTAATCCTTATCTTTTTATATGTATTCAAAATTAGTATATGTATCAATCTTAAAACTTATGCTCCTGTTCAATTATTATTTTATATATTTTTTTTTTTATTATACTATTATATAAACGTTTTTTGCTTCACTTTTTATTTGTATAAACCTATATTTTTTGACTTCATTATATTATTTAAAATAAAAGTTATATATCTACATGTTATGCTATAAATGAATATCAGTTGCGCTACTCAGTTACCTAAAATATAAGAGTAAATTAATAATGAATCTATAAAAATTTAGCAATTCATCCGAATTTAGAGTCAGGAATAGCTCAATGCCAGTAGCATTAAGCAATAATACTGGCCAACTATAGTATACCAAATTATCATTTGCTGCTTTACTTGATGCATGGCCTGCCACATTATTGGTAGAATTTTGGATGATTTTAGAAAATTTTATCAATTCCCACTTATTCCGACTTAAATTCTGCTGATTTTGCTAAATTTTTGTGAACCAACTACTCTATTCAAAATATAACTTATACAGAATATTACCAAATTCCAGCTTATAATACCTTAAAATTATGATTAGCTAGCCCAGAATTACCAAAACTGCTAAAACTTTTACTGCTATAGTGAAAATCATTGATGAGAATATTATGATCATTAAAAATTAAGCGATACAGTACAATTAAATAACTATACTAAATAATAGAAATATATTGCATAGCATTACTATATAAACATATGAATAAGCAAGAATACAATTAATCAAATACAAATAAAATGTTTAATTTAATCATATTTTCATAAACCGTTTCATAACAATTTCATAAACAAGTTTTAACTCAGAAGACAATCAATCAATCATACAATTCAATTTTATTATATTTTTAATCTTTAATACTAGCAATTTCTCAATATTACATAAAATATTGAATCAAACTTTATGAATTATTATTATTTATTTTTAAAAATTACCAAAATCAACAAAATCTGACTATATGTAATGAAGTTATAATCTACTCATTAATAAATCTGCTTACCATAAAACTACAAAATAATGTTCAGAAGTAAAATTACAAATTTTTGGCCTAAATTAACCTTAATTCGGGCCAAGCCTCGAAATAATGCCCATGGTCATTATTTTACAGTTTTAAGGTAACTGCTAATTTTGACCCGAAAATATTTGACTTATATTACTAAATGCTGGCCTAAAGCCATTGCATTCAACCAAAATTTAATGTGTCCTTAAAAAAATTTAAACTATTGTTCAATAGCCATTATTAATACTTACTCTAACTTATAATTAGAGTTGTTAAAGCATATCTGACAACTTACTTTACACTGTAATTTACTGTAATTTACCTGGCTCACTTGTAAGTTACAATATAGATTTAAAGCTAGCCAAATCATATAACAAATTTTTATTAGCATTAATATCAACTTGTGTCAGATCGAAGTTTGAATGAATTTCAATAAGTTTAAGTTAATTTATAATACTGTAATATGATGTACAACATATGTCGATCAACTCACATAACTTACAAGTCATTTATGTCAGTTACAGTAAACTTACTATTGGTAAAATACAGTAAATTTATATGTAAATTAACAACCCTACTTATAATTTAATTTTTTTTCTAACTCAATAACTAATTTACCTAATCTATATCTAGAATAATTTAAATCTTTAAAATAATATTAAACATTAACAATCAAAATGAAGTTTATTGAAATTTATCTTTTTTCAAAAATTAACACAAATAATAAAAAAATTAAAATACCTACTTCTAACATAAACTGTTAATGATCAAAATTTTATTATTATTATAAAATAATTATACATTATTAAGTTAAATATTACAAATAACATATTACAATTAAACATCTTAAATTTTTTTTTAATTTAAATAATAACTTTAAAAAATAATCAATATTACTAATCTATATTTTAATTGTTAACTTTCTCAATACCTAATATTACTATATACCAATTAATTATATATAATTCTAAGTTTTTTATATCTATTTGTTATACATAACACAACCTTTTGTAACCTATTATAGTTAGCAATATATAAGTAATTAAAGTATTATTTATTAGTTATAAAACTTTATCATTAAACTACTAGCCACTCATATGTTATATTTAGTTTTTATTATATTTATATTATATAATATATTATTTAATTATTATAAATATAAACTAAAAAATTACATACGGTACCGGGCGGTGTGAACCCAAGATAAGTTCTTAGGCTGTGTAAATCAAGGGAACCAGATAGAAGGATGGAAGCCCACTTGGAAGACCCAAGTAGAGAGGTAACCCGA